GGCGCATGTATGAGGGCCCTGAGATGGCAAAGCCTGCGGAGGCCCTGGCCTTCAGCGTGCGGAGGCCCTGGCTGGCAGGCTGCAGAGGCCCTGGCTGGAATTCTATGGAGGCTCTGAGCGGCAAAGCCTGCGAAGAAGGTCCTTGCTTCCAGCTTGCGCAGAGGGCCCAGGGCTGGCAGCTTGCGGAGGCCATGGCAGGTAGCATGGAGAGACCCTGGCTGGCAGCATGAGAGGCCTGGCTGGCAGCTGCGGAGGCCCTGGCCTTGGAGGGCTGCGTGAGGCCCTGGCTGGCATTGGCGGAGGCCCTTGGCTGGGCAGGCTGCGGAGGCGCGCTGAATGGCAAGCTGCGGGGCCTGCGCTGACCAGCGGAGACCCTGGCTGCCAGCAGGCCCAAGGCCCTGGCTGACAGGCCGCCGCAGCCCATTCAAATGTACTAAGAAGTACCTCAAATAAGGTATTTGAACATCGAGTTGGCCTATTTAGGAACTGGTGTGGTGCATGCCAAGCAAATTAGCTGCTATGTAATGGCAAAAAAAATTAAGCTTTTTGGGCCATTTTGAAACTCGGGGGCATTTTTGTACTGTTATGCACTATTTGACTATTGGGGGGGGGAGGGTTAGGGCTGAACATAGAGCAAGTGCCAACAAAACTTTTATCGCGTCAGCTTGATTGTCATGTTGGGGGTGAAACACTTGCGATGGATAGTCGGATTTGCGAGCGATTGAATCGATTGCCAGTCACATGGTATCATTTTCGGTATCTTATTGGCAGTATTATGCTTTGTTGGCTGCCTATTTTACATCTTTATTGGATGTCTCACTGGCCCCAAACTCAGCTAACATACGTGCATTGCGGGAGCTCGCCGTTCCACAATACTTTATACTGCACCTATGTCGCTTGTATTTACATCTTTATATGGATGTTCAACTGGCCCAGGAGGCAGCTTGGGGACGGCCTGGCTGGATGCATTGCAGAAGCCATGGCTGGCAGGCTGCGGAGGCCCTGTCTGGCAGGCTGCGGAGGCCCTGGCTGGCACGGCGTGCGGAGGCCCTGGTGCAGGCTGCGGAGGGCTCCTGGCTCCTGTAGAGACCCTGGCAACAAAGCCTGCGGTGCCCCAGTGGCTGGCAGCTTGCGGAGGGCCAATGGCAGGCAGCATGGAGAGACCCTTGGGTGGCAGCATGCAGAGGCCCTGTCTGGCAGGCTGCAGAGGCCCTGGCTGCCAGCCCGTGTGAGGAGGCCCTGAGCTGGCAGGCTGCGGAAGCCCTGGCTGGCATGCTGCGGAGGCCCTGGCTGGCAGGCTGTAGAGGCCTTGGCTGCCAGCGAAGGACCCTGGCTTTGCCGCATGCCCAGGCCCTGGCTGACAGGGCGCCGTAGCCCATTTAAATGTAACTAAGAAGTACTCAAATAAGTGCTTTTGGCATTCGAGTTTGCATGTTAGGAACTCGTGTGTGCATGCACAAGAAAAATAGTGCTAGATATGGCAAAAAAATATAAACTTTTTCGGGCCATTTTGAACTACGAGGGCTATTTTTAGTGCTGTTAATGGTCCCTATTTGACATATTGGGGGGTAGGCTGAACATAGAGCAGAAGCCACAAAACTTTGTCGCCAGAGCTTGATGTCATGTGGGGGATGAAAAACACTTGCGATAGATTATCGGATTCGGAGGATTGGATCGATATGCAAGTCACATGGTTATCATTGGCATTATTGGAGTATATGCTTCCTATTACTTCGTTGCACTATTACATCTTTTATGGTGTTCAACTGGCCCAAACTCAGCTACCATACGTGCATTGCCGGACTCGCCGTCCACATCTTATATTGGACCCTTTGGTTCGCTGTCGTAGGATTTTTGGCTTACTCTTCGATCAAGGTGTGTTGCCATTGGGCTTTTTGATGTGGAAGTGCTTTGAGATCGTATTGGCGCATTTGCAGTTTGTCATATGCTTTGCTTCGATGGTTGTTCATTACTTTGTTGTGGCCAACATAACATAGCAAGTCCATTCCACTTGTTGCCTGTGCCTTTGATTATTGTTTGTGAAAAAAATGATGTGATATCTGCCTATGCCTTCGATTGTTGGTTGCGGAAAAAATAATTCAGGTTGAGCTAGTTACACAAGATACTTGCGCCTCAAAAGCCAGAGTGTAGGCTCTTACGGGAAGTTGCAGGTGTGCCTCGGCCCTGCTTTCCAATACTTCGAGATCTGGCTTGCCAACGTGCCCATGGCTTATGTAACTTGATGCATTACGGGAAAAATTGTATCCGTTTAGTAAATGACAGCGACATGTCGCTTGTGCCTCGATATGGTGATCGTATTCGGTTCGGCAAAAAGAATAATCAAACGTGCTTGCGAACGTGCTAAGGCCCTGGCTGGCAGCATGCGGGCCCTAGCAGCAGCTGGCGGGAGGCCCTGAAGGCAAGCCTGCGGAAAAGGCCCAGGGCTTAGGCAGCATGCGGAGGCCATGCTGGCAGCATGAGAGGCCACGGCTGGCACTCTGCGGAGGCCCCTGGCTGCAGGGATGCGGGAGGCCCTGGCTTTGGCAGGCTGCGGAGGCCTTGGCTGACAGGCTGCGGAAACCTGGCTGCCTGCGGGACCCTGGCTTTTGCCTGCGGAGCACCCTGGCAGCAAAGCCCTGCAGAGGCCCTGCGGCAACCTGCGGAGGTCCTGGCTTTCCAGCTTGCGGAGGCAAGCTGGCAGCTTGCGGAGGCCCAGGCTGGTAGCTTGCCGAGGCCATGGCAGCAGCATGGAGAGGACCACTGGCTGGCAGCAGCAGAGGCCCTGGCTGGCAAGCTGCGGAGGCTCTATCTGGCAGGCTGCGAGGCCCTGGCTTGCCCAGGGCGTTTTTGGGCGGCGAGGCCCTTGCTGGCAGGCTGCGGAGGCCTTGCGGATTGCCTGCTCGGTTCCTGGCTTCCAGCTTATGCGAGGCCCAGGCTGGCAGCTTGCGGATACGGCCAGGGCCGGGCAGCATGAGAGACCCCTGGCTGCAGCATGCAGAGGCCTAGCTGGCAAGCTGCAGAGAACCCTTTATGGCAGCTGCGGAGGCCCTGGCTGCCAGCGTTGTAGAGGCCTTGGCTGGCAGGCTGCAGAGGGCCCTGGCGGGCATGCTGTGGAAGGCCCTGGCTAGGCAGGCTGCGGAGCCCTGGCTAACAGCGGGGACCTGGCAGCCAGGCTATGCCCAGTGGCCCTGGCTATAGGCGTCGTAGCCATATCAAATGCTACTAAGAAGTACGTCAAATAAGTGCTTTTTTGGCATCGAGGTTGGCATGTTGGGAACTCGTTGTGTGCGATTGTACAAGCAATAGTGCTATGAATGGCAAAAAAAAAAAAAGCTTTTTGTTCCATTTTGAACTACGGGGCGTGGCATTTTTGGTGTTGTTTGCCACTATTGACTATTTGGGGGGGGGGGGGGGGGCGGGGGATAGCTGACATAGAGCAGAGCCACCAAAACTTTGTCGTAGAGCTTGATTGCATGAACACGCAGAGAACAGATCTCCGTCGAGCGAGACGGCTTGAATTACTATCCCGCACAAATAATTTTTCTGGGAGCACGTCCCACTCAACATTAAAAAAATTACAAACGGGATGTGGGGTTGAAACACTTGCGATGGATGTCAGATTCGGAGGATTGAATCTTGATATTTCGCAGTACAGGTATCACTGGCATTATTGGAGTATATGCTCCTATGTCGCTTGCTATTTTACATCTTTTTTGGATGTTGAACTAGCCCAAACTCAGCTACCATACGTGCATTGCGGGAGCTCGCTGTCCACATCTTTATATTGACCCATTGGTTCGCCTGTCGTAGGATTTGTCTTACTCTTCGATACAGTGTGTTGCCATTGGGCTTTTTGATGTGGAAGTGCTTGAGACCGTATTGGAGCATGAGTTATCTTATGCTTTGCTTCGATTGGTTGTTCATTACTTTGTGTGGCCAGCCATCAACATAACAGTCCATTCACTTATTGCCTGTGCCTTTGATTGTTGTTTGTGAAAAATTGAGGTGATACGCTGCCTGTGCCTTCGATTATTGGTTGCGAAAAAATAATCAGGTGTGCCTAGTTACACAACATACTTGCGCCTCAAAGCCAGCATGCTATTGGCCCTTACGGGGAAGTTGCAGGTGTGCCTCGGCCCTGCTTGCCAACACTTCGACACCCTGCTTTCTAACGTGCCCATGGCTTATGTAACTTGATGCATACGGGAAAAAATGTATCTGCTAGTAAATGAAGCGAAATGTCGCTTGTGCCTCGATATGATTGTTGGTTGCGAAAGAATAATCAAACGTGCTTGCGAATGTGCTAAGGCCCTGCCTGGCAGCATGCGGGGGCCCTGGCAGCAAGCTTGTGGAGGCACTGGCGGCATGCCTGAGGAGACCCTAGCTGACAGCTTGCGGAGGCCATGGCTGGCAGCATGCCGTGGCCATGGCTGGCAAGCTGCGGAGGCCCTGGCTGGAAGGCTGCGGAGGCCCTGTCTGGCAGGCTGCGGAGGCCCTATCTGGCAGGCTGCGGAGGCCCTGGCTGGCAGGCTGTGGAGGCCCTGGCAGCCTGCGGAGATCTCCTCTGTGCATTGTTGACCTCATTATTCGAGGTCAATTTCCCCAAATCCAATTCTAGCACCTATGTCTTCGTAGCCTAGAATAGACGTCACCCATAGGATTTCACTTAGGTGGTCGCCCATTGACATAGCATCGACTTGAGCCTATCACTCAATTTGAATCAATATCAATTCGATTCAATTTCAATTCAACTCCAAAATGAACTTAAATCAAGCTCGATTTATGATTCGTCGATGTCGATCGACTCAATTTGATATGATCTAATTTATTTTTGATCAAATTGATACATTTTTGGGCTCAAATCAATTCACCAATCGAAGTGAATCAAATCGAATTAACTAGAGTCGAGTTCAATTTCAATGGTCCCGATTAGCCCTATTTGACTCGTCTCAAACCTATTAAAATTGAATCAAT